CCTCAACACACGCTATAATTGATATTAAAACCGCGGGAGTAAACAAACCTCTGTTAAAAAATGATAAGAACTTAAAAGGATGTTTGCTATAGCCTTATGTTGGATTAGCCTTATGTTTAACACTGTACGAGTGCTAATGCTTTTCGTAATGTTTAAAGCATGCAACTAAGCAAATATGAATTCTTTCAATGTTTTTATACATATACATGCTTAAAAATATTAAAATTAGGCTATGAACGCCTCATCACAGAAAAAAAGGCAGCCGAATAGAACACATAAATCGTAAAATTTACTACTATCACTATTCACCAAAGCGGCACATTCGAGGCTCATTCATCTTCTATTCGTTACTCACCAATATTCAGTTTACATATGAACCCTTATATGCTCTTATTTCAAAAGAATATAAAAAAAAGTCCTCTTATAGTAAACTTGACTCAGCTGAATAAAATGTACACTAAAAGTATTGCAAAAGCAATTAATTGTGAAAAGTCGGTTTCTTTTTTTTTTTTTGTTTTTTTTTTTGTACAATGCCGAATTAAATATATTATGATAGATAACAATCTTTCGTGTATTCTTTTGCACACAAGTTACAAAACTTTTTAACCACAACATCTAAATTAGAATATCTTAGCTTCTGCTTTTTATGCTGGATACCCTTCTATGGCTACTACTACTACTACAACTACTACAACTAATATAACCACCCACTAACCTCGGAACTGAATGTACGATCAACGCCAGTCATCATCATAATTATTCGCATGCATACATTTGTAAAAGGCGGCTTGCTTTGTTTAATCATTTTCAGAAAATGAATGTAAATGAAGATCACTTAAGTTTAGCGTCGTGTCACTCATGCACAAACCATGTATACTGTTGTACTGCGTTGTGCATGTGTTTATTATTTCATGTGTCATTTGATCCATTTCATACGTACAACTCATCTGCATGTGCTACCAGATAGATCATTTCGTGTACAATGCGATCATTTTCCCTTTTTCCTCTTCGCGTCTCTCTCTCCCTTTCATTCACTCTTCTTCTCCCTACCTCGCAACCCTTGTTTTCATAATGCGAACTTTTTTCTTTTTTTTATTGCCTGTGGCGTTAAATTTAACTCGAGACTTCAATTATATTTAAATAAAAAATTTTTCTGGGATTTTTTTTTTTCTTTGCTTTTATTTCATTCTTATATTACTTACTGCGATGTATATTCTTGGGAATTAATATCTGTTTTGCATGTCGTTATTTATTAAAAAGAACTATCGTTTCTTTTTTCCTTTTTGTTTTTTGCATTTAAAAAAAAAAAAAAAAAAAAAAAAAAAATACAACGGAATGATATTCAACGCTTCTTCATAAATGAGGTAATTAGTTGTATATAACATGCGGTTGCGATGGCAGTGACTTATGTATTCGTTCGCAGAGCGGGGCAGTGTGCGTGATTTTAATAAATATCGGAAGTGAAATTTTAACGCGCGAATACATTGTTTACGATGCTAGAAATCAGAGAACTGGCAAAAATTATGTAAAGTAAAATACAATACAATATAATCTTTTCCGGTCAAAACCTGTTATACCTCAGCACCTCAGCACCAGTCAACAATACAAGAATCTATAAAAACACGACTTGACCGAAGGCGAGAGTCGAGGCGAGGAATGGAATTTGAGGGATGTAGGAAATAGACGATTAATCTTAACCTTTGTATGCAGCTCCTGCGTCTAGAAGAAAATTTGGCTCACATTGATTTATTGGTAAATTATTCTTAGTTATCTGTCGTTTTTCTTGCTGCTTTTTTTCCCCTCCCGAGAAGGAGAGCCATCCACGGCAAACAATAAACGTTTAGTTAGTTTCGCCGTCCTTTATGGACATTCATCATCCCCTAAAAGTGTAAAAGTGTAATATGACGAAAGAAGGGAAAGAATGAAAGAGATGGACAATGGCCGTAGACTAGTGCATGGAGTAAGCTGAATTTTTATGGCTTCTCTTTTGATCAAAGCATGCGAGTAATTGTCAAATTGTGGGAGTGGAGCTAATATTACTGATATAGGAAATAATGCTGAGCGCCAACAGTTTTTGAAATAAACTAATGAAGGAGGTGCACTCTTCACATATTCAAGCATTTTAACTAACCATAACTACAATGGGGTCCAACAACGATATTATGAAAGAGCTTCTCCCTGATGGCTATTAAGGGTTGACATAAAAAGACCTCTTTGCCTCAAACCTTTACGAATACCCTCCGCAAACACTGTGGATTGACGCTATGAACAAAAAGATGTAAGAAGTGTGGTATACATTATTATGAATGACTTCTGCCCAGCTAAACTGTCGTCAGGATTGTTGGCATAGTTTCTTCGATACTATAATTCGACAATTCTTCGCCCAGAATTCAATTCGTATCGTGTTCGCTGGGGCATTCATCTCAATTCCGAAAATCCATATGAGTGCAACGAACTGAATTGAAAGAAATTTTCGCATTTTCAGATCAAGGTCAACAAGAAAAACTTGAAGCAGGTTTCAGTTATGATGCTATCCAACTAAGAAGAAAACTCTAGCTCCATATTCTTATTATCTTTCGACCACAATGTTATGCACGTACTAACCGCAGGAACCTTTACTCATAATCACTTTAACATGGTCAGTAATAAAAAATTCTTCCGCGCTATAAATTTATGAGCCAGTTTTCGTCTATTCCTTTCTTTTTTTTTTTTGTGGGTGTACTGAGTAACAAAGAGCAACGCAGTAACTTTGTGATGAAGTAATTTCCTCTCGAAAACCTTGGACTAATCACTAATACATTTTTGTTGGTAAAACATTTTATCTAAATCAACCATCGAGTTTAGCGTAACTCAAAGTAGACATTGCCATGCTTCAGAACGGAGTAATGATTGGTTGCAATGCCTGTTGGGGAAAAAGGAAAGCAGGGTAGAGGGTTAATCCAAAACTTGCTCTATGCTGCAGTAACAGCATATTCCATCCCGGAAAGTGGATAGCACAAAGCTTTCGTGACCTTAGCATAGGCAGAGTACTGTCCCATAAAAACGCCATTTGCGGGGAACATGACTTTCCCTACTGAAGAACAATGGGTATGTTACCACTTACAAAAACAAAATAACAGTAATGACAATCAAGTAAAACCATTAGCGTCGATTACAAAACTAAATATCCATGGTGGTCACGGTGGTGACGAAGTGTATCCGCTTCTTTATATTGTTGGTCAGCCCAAACGAATGACACCATCAATTCGATTGAGTTGAGAGAGGGGAAGCAGAAGGCCAAGTATTATGATATCGCGATATTTCAGGACAACGACGTTCGATTCTATATGGTATAGCCCGCTCAGGAAATATTAAAAGCACTAACCTGAAAAGTACCCTCGTCTCTGCTTTGACCGGTAGACATTAGTGCTTCTGATTAATACTGACTTTAATGGGCGAATTATTTTCTATTCGAGTAGGGCTTTCATCACTTTTGTGAGGGTAAACCAAGAATGGGTTCTTTGGATTGTGCTTTCTGCCAAGTAATGCTATGAGAGAGACAATAGTGTAAACAATATGTTTCGTGTCATTTTTGTCTTTATTTTATGACATTTCTGGCGTACAATTGGGGAACATTTTGCCCACAAGCATAAAACTATCTCGTCCTTTAAAGATGGATATAAAAAATGGCTTCGAACTAAATGGAGAAAGAGACTATAGGATTAACGAAAAGGAAAGATTTTTTAATGTTAGCTTAACAGTGTCACCATATCCACTTTCACTTTAAATATTGAAGACTAATTTTTATTTTTGAGAAAATTCATTTTATTTAAATAGTTTCTTTTTTAATTCATTAAAATTAAAATATTTTTCATTTTTTTATTTATTTTTTTTTTTTTATCTCTTTTTTTATACAAAAAAAAAAATGCTAAACATAAAACATTAAGAAATATTATCACAGTACATATATATTTATTTAATTTTTTTTAATAAATATCAAAAGTATTTAATATACACGAGTTACATAAAAAATTCATACTAAACAAATCTCACGCTGACTTTTTTAAAACTAACATTTACGTATACACAAAACACATACATATTATATAGATATATAATATATGTATATATAACTATACTTAAGAATCGTCGTTAGGGCGAATGTGGTTTAATTAAATATTTTAAAAACATTTGTTCTATCTTTTCAGACGAATGTTGTTTGAAACGTGTGTAGAGATAAAAAAAATAAAAAAAACAAAAAAAAAAAAAATAAATTTTTATTAATAATAATGTTGTTTAGTTTTAAAGAAAGCTGTGATTTTTAATAGAGAATGTTTGATTTGCTGGAGACGATTAAAGCTAAAAAAATTGCATTTTAAATTCTTGGACCCGACTTCTCCTATATATAAAGTAAATCTCGTTAAGAATGCGTCGGAGAACTCAAACCCAAAAGTTTTTCATTAGAATATTCGTAAATCAATCACCACTCGAGGTAATATTTTGAAAAAGAATTCAAGACATGTTATTGCTCTCTGTATTGCCGGTCAAAGGAAAGTCGAAAAGTTGACCGCTTCATTTGGTCAATAATACTTCCTAATAATGGTTTTATCCAAATTTAGGCAAACAATAAGTACAGTTAGTTTCTTTCCTAAACTTTAGGTGAATTCGCAAATTTTTAAAAAAAAGGGGGGGGGGGGGGGGCTCGAAAACCCGTATAGGGGATTTCTTTGCCCTATTAGGTGAACGAAGTAATTACAATTTCTCCTATCTTCGCCCGAATTGTTTTTGGCAAAAGGACGTTTGGCTTTGTTAGCCGACAATATAGAGCAGAATTTTGTTGGTATTATTTTTTGTTCCTTTTTGTCAAGAAAACTAAAATTTTTTAAGTCGATTCGCTTGTTTTAAAATATTATTAAATATTTATTGCATTTTAATTTCATTTTTAAAATCCTTTGTGTTGACCATTTGATAAAAATAAATTCTTTGTAATTTCTGTATTTCTAATTATTTGCTCTCTCTCTCTCTCTCTCTCTCTCTTGCTTACGTTTCTAAAAGTTTAGTGAACATAACAAAGTGTTTGCTTCGTGTTTATTAACCTACATATTCCTTCACTGCAAATTTGTTGTTTTTTTTTTTCCTTCATTAATGACTTACGGATAATTCGATTGCGATAATCTTCAGATTGTATTGAAATACATGTGAAATCTGTAACGAAATTCAACAATAGAAAGAACTTGTGGTTAATATTTGTATGAAAACTTAAATGTCATAAATTTCTAGTAATCAATCGGTAAGGGGATGTCTCTTATGCATGTAGCACGGTGACGGTTAGAAAGAAGTGGGAAAAGAGACCTAGGAGTTGTAGCCGAGACTCAATCAACTTTCCCAACTGACTAACCCAGTTTGGCTACAATCACGGTGAACTCTATGGCACTTACATTTGAATTCGCGTATATTGACTTAATAGTCGCGATTGCGATTTGTTTTCTTTAGGCTACTTATGATCACTTTCAAATTTTGTAGGAGGGTCCTTTATCACTGCATCTTTCATGTTCTTTTTGTTATATATCCTACGCAAGTTGTAGTACACGGTATATTCAGTTTATACCTAACATACGTAACACACAGAAAGGTTTAAGATAAACGCAGCTTTTAGTATACCGTTTGATTCAGAAAAAGATTCTGATACCTTTTCTAAATCAGTCCAAGCTTGCCGGTCCATCTGATGTCTGTCCATGTAATTTTCAGTTCGACCTATTGGAGATATTTTGATGAAATTTGGTACACTGGCGTGCTTCGGTCCAAGAACGAACGCTATTAACAATGATCTACATTGGTACACTTTTCCAACCACTCCACAACCCATTTTGAAAAGTCGTTATATGGGAAAAAATTGCAATTTTCCGTATTTTTCGACAAAACTCGCTGTGTAATAGCATTTCAAGATTCTAAATTGGTATGAAAAATTTGGCTCGGATGGGGCAATCTTTGGAATCTCCTCTCCTATAACCGTTCCAATGGGAACCGAATTTTGATACGGTAGAAAGGCGTAAATTTTAATATTTCATGGTGTAAGTTATTTCATAACAGTAAATTGACATGTAAATCAACCTTACTGAATTTGGACCAGATACGTCTATTTTTTTGGTACCACGATTTATAAAGATTCTCAGGAAATATAAATTTGTATATATCAAAAAGGCCGAATAGTTAATTTTTTATGGTCAAAATTTGTCTTTTCCTTGCACTACACTCCAAATAAAATTTCTCATGAATAGTAAGCCTTTCAGAAAACGGTTTAATTCTTAATATTTTATGATGAAAATTAGTCCATAGTGACGATTGAGGAAACCTGGATCACATAGATTTATTTTTTATGACTCTCGCATTTACATGAGTTATCATGAAGAGGAAGACTTCATAGGGAGAAAAAGTCTCTTTTTTAATTTGTTATGACTCAAAAATAAGATAATTTTTGGGAAACAAATTTATAGCAGGTTATGTAATGTACTGGGAATCCTCCAATAGGCGGACTTTCATAAAAAGCATAGATTTGCGTGAAGATAATGTGTAGCTTTTCGTCTATTAATGGTAAAACGGGTGAGTAACTGTCCTAGGACAAAGGGCGTAGGACATCCAATAGTCGGTCTTGCCCGACTATAATGTTCATACTTATTTTTGACTGGTTTCGAATCCCCATTGAATTCGTATTTCATGGAAAAGCCAAATGACGGAGCAATGTGTGATTCGTATCGAAACGAACGTAGGCAGATAGATTGAAATTTTCAAGGGATTATTCAGTTCGTTCTTTCTTACAAATCTAGACGGGCTTAGAATAGTTTACAGTCGTGGATTCTAATTCTAAATTTTTAATATTTCTTCTCTTTTTAAGAAGATACTAATAATCTTACCTCTTTCTTGTACACTTTTCTACCAAAACTGAAATGCGTAATCATTGCCTCAATGCCCTGTATCTTCTTAAAGTTTTTTTGCTTCATTTTACATCATCATGTAGGGTGATTCGTCCCCGTTAGCTTCGGTTGGACTGTCCATTGATGGATTAATGCGTTTCTCTTTTTGACGACGATTACAAAACCATACGCGAACTACTTCCTTCTCCATACACAAACGATCGGCCAATTGGCTGATCTCTTCGCTAGTGGGTTTTTGATTCATCATAAAAGAACTCTCGAGAGCGCCGCGTATAGAAGTTTCAATAGAGGTGCGTTTTTTGCGTCGCCGTCCCATTATTTCAGGGGTAGTAACTGTAGTTTGAAGAGCAGCAGGATCGAAGATACTATTAGAAGAGAAAAAGAAGAAAACAACATGGAAATCATTACATGCAGTGGAAAGATAAATTTTAAAATAAAAAAAAAAAAAAAAAAATGTAATTACACTTACCCGCCAGTCGCTTGTATGGTACGGTCGGCGTCATCTAGCCATTTCTGCAATAGAGGCTTCAATTTGCACATATTCTTGAAGCTCAGATTTAAAGCTTCGAAACGCGAAATGGTGGTTTGAGAAAAGTCATTACCATATAATTTACCCATAGCTAAGCCCACATCACCCTGTGTAAAACCTAGTTTAATGCGACGCTGTTTAAATGTTTTAGCGAATTGTTCCAACTCTTCTAAGTCAGTAGTTTCCTCGGGAGAAGGTTCTCCCGCCCTGACTGCATTATTGGCTGTACTTTTAGGTATTTGTGGGGTTTGAGGACCACCTGTGGGCGTGTTAGGTGTTAAAAGACCGCTAACTTTTACATGGTTACTGCCACTCGTAGAGGGAGACGGAGTTTTATGTTGCGCACTGACAGCGGCCGCATTATAAATTGGCAGCGGCGAAGATCCAGGACTATGCACTGGAGTATGAGATAGTGTGGGTGTAGAAGTTTGTAGACTTTTCATATGTAAAAGCTCGGATTGGCCAGTCGTTTGCAGCAGAGACGAGCAACGTTCATGGTGAGCGAACTCTTGTTGTTTTTGTAAAGCCTCTAATTGCTGAGCTGCCTGGGTTAAAGCTTGTCTTTGCAATAGGAATTGGGCTGTAGCCACTTGAGCAGCAACTGAGGGATCATCTTGACTCAAGCCCAAGGAGCCGCTTCTTAGTATATCTAAATAACTTTGAAATTGCTGTTGAAGGGCTACTTGCTGCTGTTGCAAGGCTTGATGAAATTGAGAGAAATCATGAGGAGCCAAAGGATTACCTAAAGCAGTTCCAGCTAATAAAGGGTTAGTTATGCCCAAACCGGCCGTTGCAGTGAATTGTGTTTGAGGGGAAATCAAACTGGCGGGCAAAGGAATCACGGGACTTCGCGATGGAATAGGAGCAGTTAAAGGGATCGATGAATTTTGACTGCAAGTCGGCGAAAGAGCTTCTGGATTCTTAAGGCATTTCAAAGAGGGTGAAGGAGACTGAGAGCTATGTCGGGAATTTTCACTAGTTAAATTTAAAGCTGCCTCCTCCACTACTTCCACCTCATTTTCACTTTTTATAGAGGATTTCAAAAGCTTTGGAGAATGAAGACTAGGCGAGGGCGGTGAAAGCTGCTGATGATGGTGCTGCTGCTGCTGTTGGTGGTGATGGTGGTGGTGGTGGTGGTGGTGGTGGTGGCGATGGTGGGAATGATGAGACGAATGGTGATGCAGGCTATGCAAAGGATGCGGATGTAAAGCCGATAACTGGCGACGTTTCAAAGGAGGATGACTTAAGCCCAAAGGACTAACCGGCGACGAACGGCAACGATCACTTGAGTTGCCTACACTTGAAGTATTATCCTCACAGTCAGAAGCTGCAATTGAAACAAAAAATGATTAAAAAAATTTATTATTTTTTTTTTTTTTCAATTTACTCGTTTTATGTTTTCAGAAAAGCTTTCGAAGAAGAAACACGTGTTGTCACAAAAAGCAAAGAAAACACTCACTTCAAACGTTATGCTAAATAATGAAAATATAAAAATAAGTTTTTGCATATACTTAGCTAAGCTTGAATACAACAATCCTTTGAAATTGTATAAATTCTGGTCAATTTCATGCTTTACTGATTCAACTGAACAAACAAATACTATTCACATACACACATTTGCGACCCGCACGCTCTCTTCACTCCACTCCTTGCAGTGAACTTTACAACTGTGTGCCCATAACTGGCTGCTTCAGTATACAATTTGTGTTTTCCTCAAACTCATCTAAATGGTATTTTCATGTTTTCTTTACCATTTTCTAATATTTCCCACAGAATTGCAAATTTTCCTTTTATAAGTTTATCATACAATTGAATATTTGCACAAGAATGGATGAAAAAAAAAAAGAAAAAAATTATTCAAATACTATCTTTTAATGCACATTCGTAAAGAAATATTGATTGGGAATTCCACCCTCGTTTGAATAATAAACTCCACGTCCAAGTCCAAGAGTGTGGAAAAAGGAAAAAGTTTTTCTTCTTTTTTTTTTTTTTTGTTTTTCTTGTTTCTTTCCTAAATTTTCTATAAATTATTCACTTTCTCCCTAACCTAACGATTGTTGCACTTGTAAAGGTTGGTTGATTCATTCGTTTATAAAACAGACCGTTTATGACCATTTTGTTATAAATTTAAATATTGGTCCAAGAGAGTCAAACCCTTTTCCACCTTGCTTAGCCTTGATGGATATTGACTTCATAATTGTATGCATCACTGAATTTTATCGAGTTTTGCATACATTCTTATGGATAAGCATAGGTTTAAATAAATATATGTGTGTGGATTTTTCTTTCTTATTGCTTTTGATGACTTCTTTTGTGCCAACTCACGGTCACCATATTCACTCGTGTTAGTTCTTATGCAAAAAAAAAAAAAAAAAAAAAAAAAAGCAGAAAAGAAAAAAAGAGGGAGAGAGAACGAAACGTTAAAATCCTTTTTTGTTAAGAAAAATTGTATCATGGTACGTGTGCATTATTTGGTATTCAGATGATGTGCAAATTTATGTTTATGGATGAGTAACCAATGCAAAAGCAATGAGAATGTACAGTGGTGGTGGTGTAGAAATAATTTATAGAAATTTTAACATAGAAGATAAGACATATCAGTTTTGTGACCTACAGGTTGAACACAATATTAACAGACGGACGGGCAAAAGCTGGGATCGCTTCAGGAGATGCAACTAATTCTAAATCGATCGATATAACAAACGGCAGGTCTATCTCATGTTTTTGTGGGTGTGACATATATCCGCACGAACTTGTATATCCTTGGAAAGATGCTTTACATGCACACTATTTTCACCGGGATGACCGTATAGCCCTTTAACTTAAAGGTTCATCGCAAAATTGGCTTCAGTGTTGCCATTTATTAAAGTTTAAGAAAAATAATTTTTACACATGAATATGTGTGTGCCTGACATTATTATTTCATCATCTTTCTTCTTTACAGGTTTTCATAGAGTTTAAGGATTCTAAAAATGTGATCGATTGTTCTCTTTTTTGTAATTCTACAAATCAAGAGAAGCTTGACGGTTTGAACAAAATAATAGACGTTAGACGAAATGAGGGCAAACCACCTCGAAAACCTTGGATAAAAAGTGGTTGTAAGCTTATCATTGGACTACCAGCGTAACTAGGAATTGAAAGAACATAATACAACATGATGATTATATAGCTTGAAGCAAGAAATCTACGCAGTTATGTTTGGATTATCATTGCCGTTATTTAAAGCACAAAGCTTCTTACTAACCCGTTTTAAATTGACTCGGTTGATCTATTTTTGATTCGAATATTTCGATGCCTATAAATTGACGTATGGACAAGCAGAAAATGTATTCCCTATCAGTCTATTGACGTTGTGTATTTTTCTTTTGCGAATCTGTTGCGTCTTCCGCGCCTAAGAGCTCCAACAGCAGACGATACAATTTCACTTTGATTCCGGATACATTTTCCTTAGACAGATATTAAAGCCTAAATCTAATCTCTGTCTATTAAGCTGAATTCTTTTTTAGTCTCTACTACTGGAGGACTCGTAGAACCACTACACCATAACATTGTTTGTGGATAGTTCAGCCTGATTTACTACTCTTTTGCATTGTCATCTTGCTAAGAAATGACGTTTGTTTAGGTTAGGTCGCAGTTGACTGACGCTGTGGTTTTTCTAATACTGGTCGAAGGACAAGTTCAAGTGCGGTTTAATTTAACACAATTCAACAATAGATTCCTTTATTTTCGGAATCTGAACTTCAGGTATGCGGTAGTGCGCAGCGAAATCTAGACTCAGCGGCAATTTTTGTAGATTGTCTCACAGGTACCGTTCTTCGCCAACATTCATCGATTAAGTACCCAGCCACTCTTTTCTTCTCTTGCCTATAAGCGAACAAAATCGTAAGTGAGGTAAATAGAGCCGTTCGGGGGAACTGTTGTCTATTTCATGTTTTATCCACTCCATGCAGACCTTGCATTCAACCTATACTTCTCTGCACCGTCAGTTAATGTTTATTAATGTTACATTAGTGAAGCCTATGTCTCTTCATAACAAATTACGTTCATTTCGCGTTTGCTCTTTCCATAAAACAATTGCTTTAAAATTATCCGCAGCACTCTGAATGTGTTTGAGAATTAGCTGACATATTCTCCTTCTCCTTCTTATTCATACATATGCCCCGAACCCGAATGTGTGACACTTTTCTCAATTAATTAAATTCATTTTATTCATAAAATCTAATAAGCAAAAAATATTACAAATTATATACTAATTGGAAGATAACATGGACAATTTCACAGCAGAAATTACAGTCTTGTATGCAAAGTATCTTGCAATTATAACAGTAGCGTCGTACTAAATTTTTTCACCTTAAACTCCACGAATTGTAAAAGTGCCTAAGAGCTGGATGATGTTATAAGTTGATTTAGTTTGGATTACCTATCTTGCAGTGCAATTTACGTTTTCTATAATACATGTTTAATAAGTGAAGCTGGTCCACAATATTTTGGGATTTTTTTCTTTGATAATTACTCACTATTAACTATTTACGGATCTGACGGATCTATTACGGATCTGGAAATAAACAAATGAACTGAAATTGAAGGCATCTCTTGATATAGGCAGAACTAATACTGATAGCTTAGCGATGCAGTTTTTGAAAATAAATAGTAATAATCCTGGGTATATTATAAAATATAAATCATAATTTCGGACATAGTGCTGCTACCTTTTGCCTTTTCATATCGCTTAGTTTTGTTCCCTCGTATTCGGTATATTGTATTGAAATCTAAACCTGATTTTCGGACACAGCTCTACTTCTCCGCTTTTTCTTTCTCATATCGCTTACGATATTATTTTTTCCTTCATGTATGTCATGAAATGTAGAGCATATTTTCGGACATAGCGCTACTTCTTGCCTTAGACTCTCTGATATCACTTGCTGCGCTGTATTATTCTATTAAATTGTTTAATTACTCTGTCCGTCAATTTATGAACTCGGTACTATTTTCATTGACGACACTATACTCTATACAACTACCGTAATATGGATCTGCTGCAGGAACTGTGACCCAAAGTATTGCCAACTCGTAAAGCCTGTCGAATATATTTTCGAACAGCTTCCGGATATACTTGTTCAAAAACTGGGCAACTGGATTAATTCCATTGGTCACTTTTTAGTCAGTACAACCTTCCGAAATCTCTTTCTTCCGTTGTGAATGTTTCCCGTCCTTACTTTAGCTTATATTTTCAGTTACTCATACAGCCTGTCCAACTTATGGAAACTGGCGATGTCAACTACTAAGAAAAAATATTCTTATCTGTCTTAGAAAAAACAAATTGTTTTGAAATAAATGCAGATTCAGGAGGAGTACAAATTAGGCAATGTTCTATGCAACCTACTGAATCGATAGCCTTTTGCTAAGATAAAACTGCGAAAACTCTCCTAAAGTTAAAATTGAAATCTTTTTTTTCACATTTACTGCCACTGTCTTCAGTTTTCCATATTGATACCAATAACATATATATATATATATATATATGTATATATATATATGTGTGTGTGTGGAATGAAACGCAACAACATAACATCATCATTATCATTTGACTGAAATGCCAACAGTTGATGTTCAATGAATTTTAGATTTTTACAAACGTAGACGATGACCACCCAAAGCAACGTTACAAGTGAAGAGAAAATAATAAAAAAAAAACTAAATTTAAATCTAAGCACTGGACCACAACGGAAATGTATAATTTTTGCATAAAAAATTCTCTTGTATATCGAAAAATTTACAATACAAGACAGGCATGAACTTTTGAATACACCATTGGCTTGCTATATGGCGAATACGAAGAACACATACATAACATAAATAACATAAGATTTATTTATTAAGAAGTAAAGAAGGCATTGCATCATCAATAATACACAATCAATGCCAACTAACCCTAATTTTGGAAAAGGTGTAAACATGAGAGGATTTATTTTGGTATTAAATAAATATTTGAAAAATATATATTCTCAACTAAAGTCTTAGCTAAAATATCTTTAAATCTTAAGAGTTTTGAGAAAAACTTTTCATGCATTACGCAGATTAGTTAAGTGTTCACTTTGTCTTCTTTGTTTATTCCCTTTCTTTGTTAAGAATCGTAATACTTGAAAACACATTTTAGGGACCTCTTGAAACGTTCTTCCTTCACTCTCCTTTTTCCTTCTCTCTGCCTAAAGTCAATTAAGGAGATGGCAAACAAACTATTACTTAACTTGTGTATAAATGTTGGGCACACTTTCTTGACACTTTTAAAACATCATAATAAAACTAAATAATAGCTAAAAAGGAAAGAGAAGAACAAGATGATCTGATCAGGAGGCAGAAAAAAAAAAAAAAAAGAAGAAGGGTTGTTGTCTTACAATATATACAAGAACTTTGCCACGAGTTTGATTATAAATAAATGTTTTTTTTTTTTTTTTTTTTTTTTTTTTACGGGTTTGTCTTTTTTGGAACTCCGCACTCTCTCGTTCTCGTCATTGATTGGTCTCACTTTTCGACAATCTGTTCCATAAACATAGGTTAGTTTTTAGGTCTTGTGTAATAAAACAAAAATTGATTCATTTGGGTTTAAAGATGAATAAGAAAAGAAAAAAAAAAACAAACTGCGTTAGTTATTCTACGACAGCAGATGTTTTTATAACAGCAGCAGCCATATAGCAATAACACCAACAAGAATATTATTAACAACTATTACATATGTAGGGATTGCCATTGAAAATTTCATTGGATTGTTTTTCCTCTTTTTTTTTCGTTTTATTTAAAAGCGAACAAGTAAAAGAGATATGGGGGGGACGTGTACGCGTCCGTATTTCAAAAGTGTGGACAAATCGTAAATTTATCACACGTCACCAGTCGCCAGTGAGCAGCTCAATGAATGAAGACAGAAAAAAAAAAAAGCAAAGAAAATCCATTTCTAAAACCAAATGGTGTTTGTGTTTAGTTTATCACTGAAAAAAGGATTCATTGCAAATATTATATTCAAAATAATCGGGGAAACCATCTGTGTTCTTTGTCTTCTTTTTTTTTTTTTTTTTTAATAATTATAAATTTAAATAAATTTTTTTAGGTTTTATATTCAAAACATATGTGTAAAGTGACGAACAGTGCCTAAAACTATTGGTTAATTTTGCTATGTGTTGATGATATTCTTGTGTAGATTTATGTATAAATACGTGACAACAGACTTGTTACGGTGATGTGAAGTTAGCCTTAGCAATTTTTAAATTGATCGGCGACAAAATCAAAGCGATAAAAAGTCAAAAAAATCAGAAAATTATATTCGGCGATGGCCATGGCATCTCTTATCCTCATCATGTTTATCGCAGAAAGGACTTAAAAAAGACTAATTCTCCATATTCTTAACATCGGGTGGACGTGACTGAGTTTTTCTACTTCTGTAGCAGGTGCATGGAAAAATTTTATTATTTTTAGTTACGGAGTGACGATTGTAAGACCTAGGTAGTAGAAGCGTTCTCAGTTCAAATTGAACTACAGGCGTTTCCTTTGCCCTATTTGGCTCCAATCTGCACGCAAGAGTTTCCAACGTTTCTAAAAAATTTGGAGCCGATAGCTTTGTTTTTGCAAGCAATAGATATTACCCAGATCGCCAGAAGGACAGATGGACAGACATACATGCTTAGGTGCGTGCTGGAATCTGTTGACACTAGTCAAGAACATATATACTTTGTGAGGTTTGTGAAGCTTCTTTCTGCCCATTATAAAGGATTTGATGAAGGAATGAAATTTTCATGCACTATAACATTTTTGCGTCCAATTTTTGTGCAGTTACCATAGAAACCCCCATAGCATAGGTCACTGCTGTAGATTCTCAGAAATAAGTAAGAATCTATATTTTTTTTAATTTTCAGGGAAAATATTTTCTCAATTCACGCGAAATGATTTATAATGTCTACCTGCATGCAGGTAATGTTTTTGGGAAATATTTACCGCAAATCTTACACACAGATGAATATACTTAAATCGATTCGGTATTTAATGTTGGTAAGGAATATATATATCTTGTACGTAGTCTCTGAAGCTCCGTTCGGGGTATTGTAGCGGTGTTGCCAAAATCAATATACCACCATGGTAGTGGTGGTGGTTAGAGGTGGGTACGAAATGATAAGAAAAATTGCAAACCCCGTTCATAGTGTTATGATTTTTTACTAAAGTTCTTTTCGGAGCATGCGGTTCGAAACTGGATCCGCTTTAACCTACTAAAAGCAACTAAAGGTTTTGAGAAAATGAATATAACCCATCTGTCGGCGGTATCTAAAAACCATGGCGATAACACATTCAAAAAACCTTAATCTCGTTTCCCCCGGAACGGTTGTTTAAAACAACTTCTATCAGGTTATCTTTTCTGGTCAAAAATCGTCTAAATGCTTCATCCAAATCCTGGCTACTTACAAAAAAATCAATATTTTTAAAATCCCAGTTCAAGGATTTTTGTGAAGATTCAAATCTGCAAAAGTTATATTATGGACGGCAGAAACCCCTTAAATTGAAGACACCGTTAAATACCTTACAATATCCTTTCGTTATTCATTTAACGACTTTCCCAAAGAAGGCTTTATATGAAAAATAGTCAGAAAAGTGGTCCAATTCGAATCATTTTCAATAACGTTGGTCAACGGTCCGATCAGTTTAAGTTTGCTCAGGTCAGTGGACCAAATTTTTTCAAAATATCTGGTTGTATGTGCAACGAACTCAAGAAAGTAACAAGGATAGATGGACAGACAAGTTTAAATGAATTCAAAAAGTGGATCTATTTTAAATCCTTTCGCGTTTTGCATATATCCGCTCAAATTCGATATAATTTTATGTTCCAAGAGGTTTAGGATATAAAAATACGCCTACCTTTAATAAATATTAGGTGATATTGCTTTTTAAATTTTTTTTCCTTGCGATGATCGAGACTCTAGAAGGAATGTAAGTAAGACGTTTGAAGGAATTTGTACAAGAAATAACGAAAACAAATATACAATAGGCGTAGCGCTAGTTAGGCCCAAGTATCGAATGTATGTTTGAGCGCGAACTGAATGCATAAACTTTCATATCTTAACGTCTGCGATGTTTTTAAGACAATTGCAAAGATTTTAGTCGATCGATTCAGATCATATTTAGCAATAAATCTTTTTATGGTCCTCCCCTCCTCCTCCTCCTAAGAATTGACATCAATCGATCAAACTATCCTTTATAATATCGAATATAATATTTTCTTAACTCGTGAGAGATTATTTAATTAAAAAAATTGTTTTATGCGGTAGAATAATTAAGAATAATTAATTTTATTTACTTACCATTCGATTGCATGGGCGACGGTGATCGTGATATACGACTTATATCTGTAAAATATTAAAGAAAAAACAATATTTCAAAAATGTATTTTCAAATTTCAAGCAATTTGTACTTTCAAATTCTCTTAATAAATATGAAAATTTTGCAGCATATATATATGCACACACACACACACGCACACTAGCTGAAGATAATAAAAATTCTTTTAAAAGTAGAAACAATTTCTCTTCTTTTCCTTTTTTTTTAAGTTAGAGCACAACAATGTATTAAATTGCAGTTTCCGCTGTTCTTCTTGTTGTCTATGGTTATAAAAATAAAAGGATAACAAGCCCACGCTTGCACACAATAAAAACAAACATCAACGTCTATCCTTACATTCGCAACTGAAATGCATATGAAATGAAAGTGGTCTAGTTGGCTTTAAGATCCTTTGACTATTAGTTTATTCATAGAAAAAAGAAGAAGAAGAAGAAGAAGGAAAAAAGTAAGAAAACAAACATATAACGACATACTAAACATAAACATATATGCATGCATGACTATTGACCACCTGGTCACAGTTGACTGACATCATCAATACACTTAAAAATAAAACATTGAACAGAGGCAGACAGTGGGAGATTGTGTTTATTCCCACTCTAACGCATAACACAAATGTCCATACATATTGTCCATTTCTATACGTACGTGCCGCATAATAATTTGAATTTTCTAACGTATACAGTGAATACGATAATGATAATAACGACCACTATGAGGTCATTTCATTTCCGACCACTCAAATTTACAATATTTCCAATTTTTATTTTATGTTTATGCATGAGCATCAGTAAAAAAAAAAAAGTGCTAATTTATGAGTTGGAAATTTTACTAGCTACGTTTCGTTTCCTTTTTTTTTTTTTTTTTGTTTTTTTATTCTTTCTTTTTACTATCGGAATAAGCAGCTAATGTCCCTTAAAGTTTTTTTGCACTTTATTTCGTAGAAAGTATAAAAATGCATTTTAAACATATTGGCATATTATTTGTGAGTAATAATTCATATGATAGCTTTAAAAGTCAACGCATAGCCCAAATATTGCTGACGACTTTTACTTTATCGCAAGAAATCGTAAATTGTATACAAATATGAATTAATTCTGGATTTAGGTAATTGTACGTTCCAAGCTGTCCTTTTAGTGTATAACAAAGTTGTAAGGAGATAGATGTCAGCTAATACCCTATAAGCCATTGCACATTGTTCTTTTTTAGACTGAAAAAAATGCATCTAAAGTCACAGGTAGGCTAATACCCAAATGATTGTTATCAGAACCATTCTTAAGGTTTATGCGCATACATATACAAAACTGAGAGTGACTTCATTATACCAATCGATTCGGAATCATGTTCTGTGTCGATTTAAACAGGTGTAGCCATCAGTCTGCATGTCTAATGTCTTCATCTATGTATTCTTATATTTACCTTGTAGGCAGACATTCTAAGGAAACTTCGTTCACTTTGATATGTTTTGGGTCACGAGAAGAGATCCTCCTTGTATAGTACACCGTTTTGAAGACTTATTATATTAAAAAATTTGCAGTCTTTATTATTGCTTGCTATATATATTAACCTTTGAAAAATAGTATTCTCACATATGATGTGAATGGGGAAAATTTGGGGAATAAAAATAAGGCTTCTTACGACAACTGGATCCAATTTCTTTTATTTTTCGTTGAATGATTTGGTATACAGAGTGGTAAACGCGGATTGCATTGGTCTATTTTACTAATCTACTTCCATATTAAAGCTTTCTTATAATAATAAGAGGGTAATTTATAACGAAGAATTGGTTAAGCAATGCCGTGTTGTCTATTAAAGAATCGGTCGTAATAACGTCTTATTTGGCTTTAGGTCAATGTCTGCTTTAGCTTACAGCCTAAACCCTTCTAGTTATTGCGAATGCATTTAGAGCCTGAGGGAATATTTCTACTGAGCTTTAGTAAGTTGTATGCTGCACACTACACATTTGTAGCGCAGCCATTAGTCATTAATATGCTTAACTTCTTTCGCAGCTTTTCTTCAGTAATTGCAGATCCTTGCCGCAGTAAATCTACATAAAATCCGCATCTGATTTTTTTTTATGCTTATCAGTCATGATTAAGAACGAAGTTGCAACACCTTACCTCTGTTACCTTATGAGCATGAATTTCCTATATTCACTTTTTTATTTTCGAGGCAATTGAAGTGTCGCTTGCCTTAAACTTTGAAAATTTCAAATTATTGCTGTCCCTCGCAGGACAGGTTTATTATCGCCTTTACCAAGGTAAAGGGGTACAAGGTTATATTAAGTTTATGCAGATGTTTGCAACACCCAGCAAAGCTTAGGATAATCCCACCTGTTGTTATGCCAACCAATTCAGAATTCATTTTTATAGCGATTTAAGCTTGTCTGTCCTTCTGTCTGTCTTGTTTTCTTGTGTTCAACCTACAGGTCGCTTATTACGAGATATTCTGATGGTACATTGACTTGTTTCATCTCAAGGAGGAACGCTTTTGAAAGTTCTTATATGAATATGAATAACTGTGTTAACCGAACTGGTATACGGTATTTAATGGTGTATCCATTATAGCATTTTTACTCATTATCAAGTGAGAAAGTACAGAAAGTTTTAAGGCCAAGTTTAGTCGGGCAAACCCGACCGCTCAATATCGTACACCAATCCGCTTAATAGAATTCTTTGCTTATTTTCATCATAAAATATAAAATATATAAAATTATACTCTGTTTACCAAAGCAAAGGCTTACTTTGCATGAGCATTCGTAAATGAAATCAGGGTCGAAACGTGGAGTGTCCTGGTCCTTCTTTAATAGAGATAATAAAAGGTTTCTTTCGTCACAGTACGCCAGTTACTTTCAAAAAGTGATTTCCATTGGTATAACAAAAGTTGGATCTGTACCAAACTCTACAAAAATCTAACATCTTACCACAACTTCCATTGAACGCAATTAGGTGAACTCACAACCCAGCATCTTTGACTGAATAGACTAAAGAAGTCAAATTTTATTATTACACATTTTTGTAGATCTTTATTTTTTGTGGCTGGTAGGGAGCAAGCATCAGAAGAAAAAAAGACAATTATTACTGAATAAACTTTGGTCAGTTCAACGTTTGCAAAGAAATAATGGAATGTGATTTTGCGCTAACTGCTCTGAAATCGTAAGCACATTTCCCCAGTGCATTCCTATCCTCGATTGTGTCTTTCCTGCCAAAGAGGCGCGATTCCTCTCTGACTATGTGACTTTGGGTCTCATCGTGGTATAATAATTTACATTTTGTGAAAAGCGTTAATTTTGCTATCAAAACTAACTTCAAGTTCGCAAATATCTACTTTTTTAAAGTTTATTATTCATTTAAAGTAAAATAACAAAAATTTTGGGAGACTCATAAAAAGTTCAAAGTTCAAATGTGACTCACAAATATACATAGTGATAAAACTAATGTTAAATGATTGGAAATCACGTTAATCACTGCCTAAAGGTTGTGTAAACTGTTAAAACACAACTTTAGCCTTTCTCTTCAAGAGTCCTTCGCGAATTTTTAACAAAATTATGACTTACCCAATATTTAATCTATGAATCAATAAAAGCTTTGCAGTAATTGCTTGGGGAAGTCTTCGATTCTTCTGACATTTATAGCCATAAATTTATATTTATTTATATATGTATGTACATACGTATGTACATATATACAAGTGTCTATTGATCTTCGATGGACATTATTTTGTATAGTTTTGTTTTTGCTTTTTTTTCTTTTTTAAATTTTGAATAAGGGTAAGTGACTGCTGACCTCACGCAGAGTAAACGTATGTACTTTTATGCATTGTAAACCTCAAAATGTAACAATTTTAACAAATTTTTGCAGTGAGGGTAATATGATCTAAGGATGAATAGCAAACAATAAATCGGCTTTGAACCCACAAACAGCTATATTTGCAATAAAATTTCAGCTAACTTTAAATGTGCAATCAATACAGCAATAACAACAACAAAATGAATGGAAACAGCAAAAAGGTCATTTAATTAAATAGCAAAAATTTAAAATGTGTTTATACACACACACACACACACACATATATACACATATACAGAGTTTTGTTGATTAACATTTGGAAATCTATATATACATATGTATATATATATATATATATATATATATATGTATGTATGTTTATGAGCATCTGTGTAGATTTATGCCCATACTACCCATTAGCGTATATCTTGCGTTTGCAGCATTAAAACAACTGACCCTTCCAGTAGGTGTCAATGTTTACTATATTTAATATACTTCGATACTTTTCCATATGAAATATGTATACTTATATGTGAACGCTGCACGCTTGTATATACATATATATATATTGTATATCACATCTCATATAACGGACGCGTGTTTAACTCGTGCGTTTCTCCTCAACCCGTGCCTTTTGTATTAGAAGCAAATGCGAATGTCGATAAACCTTTTATAATGATAAGAGTATTGAGGGTTGATTTCTTCTCTCTACTATACGTTTACTGCTGTTGTTTTAGTTTAATTCTTTCTTTCTTGGTTTTTTTTTTCTTTTATTAAAATTTATGTGTCATTTAAAGGAAATTTAGTTTTATATCATTTAGAAAATAAATTTTAGTGAAAAATTAGGCATATGCCGTCTTACTGATTATGCTTTATATCGAACAGCCTCAAATGTTACAAATTAAGAATCCTTGAAAAGGAAAAGGATGTCCATTAAGATTATTAAAAATTAGTCAAGCTTTCAATTCCATACAGTAGTCCATATAACAAATGTGGTGAACTATTAGAAGAAACATTCCATTCATTCAAGTAATAGCTATTTACTTAGGTAACGTTAGGCTTTACTGTTGTTATCCGGTCATTTAGATATTTCGTAAACGCAATGACGTCTTGCATTAATATATCCTTTTCTGCGGCTCTCCAATTTACTGATATCACATCTACAAAAGTTATTTTCATTTTAATGTAAAGTCTCTGGTCATGGATTTGAAGATTGTGAG